CATTAATGGGCAAATTTCCTCATACATAAAACGAAAGAACTTTCTCCAAAACCAATACATTTCATTAATGATTCTGTTTTGCTGTAGTATTCTGCATAATTTTAAAAGCAAAAGTCTTTATTATTATTCGTATTAATGCATGATATTGATAGATAAGTGGCACTTTTTTACCTTCATTTTCTTTTTTGTTTGCTTGATTAAAACTGTGAACTAACATTTAATATTAATATGTATATAATAATGATAACTAAAAAGTGTACATTTATGCACAGTAATTTTTTCTGTCTATAACTTTGGACCATAGAACCTTAAGATACGTGCCAAGCACATATAAACACACATAAAAGACGGCAATGTGACAGATGTCTGACAGATACAGCAGAGAAAGAGCACCGCAGGTGAATAAAAGACTTATGGAGGGGTCATAAAATATGACAGGTAAAGCTTGTGTTGGATTTATCTCACAAACATCCGCTTTTCTCACTGTTACACTGCAATCCATTTGCATGCATATCTGAGTTTTGCATAAATTTACAAACCCTTAGAGAGTATAAGATCCAGGTTGTCATTTAAAATTAAAATCTAGCCCACATTGATAATGTAGAAACACAAAGCAACAACTGTAGCTTCACAGTTATTGCTACAATACTTTCTACTGACAGAGTGGTACAATAAATCCCTTTAGACTCATTATTAAAAATCAAAAATGTAAATTAAAGGTAACACGTATCCTAGTTTAATATGCAGAGTTTGTGGTGCTATCAAAACATTGCTCTGTTTGTTTAACTATCTCGACAAGACTGACACAGCAACAGCTCAACCAACGGTATACGTTTGGGCCGGGGCTATCTGTTTAGCTAACCAATGGCAGACAGGGGGAGTGTTCAGGAAACTTGCTCAGAAAAGACTAAGAAAAGACTCAGAAAAGACGCACACACTTTGATACAAAACTGACATTTACCTATGCTGATTACGGTTTGTGCACATACAAAAACAGATTACATATCTCTTAAACAACTTTCAGCCCCAAGCTTCAGTGCTTTTTAATAATCAACCTGGTCTGGATTGGTAATGTGTCCTTGAACAGCATAGTTCACCCAAAAATCCTGTTTGACAAAATTTGGAATCGTTTGCTTGACTCTCTTCTTTTTTACTCACATGAGGACGAGTAAATGATGACAGAGTTATTCACATAGACGTATTTGTGATGAATATGATTTAAGAAAAAAAAAAATGATGGGCATGAAAGATTGAGAGTATAAAAGAAAAGAAAACAACAGATAAACAGTAAAAAAAGACAGAAACAGAGACAGAATGCTACATTTGATCAGACATTCCTCATAAACACGCCAAAAATGAAGGTTGCATAAACAGGGACTGAATGCTGACCAAGCTGCCTGTCTGTCTCCTCCATGCCATCCTGTGCTATTACATTACTATCAGCCTCTGGTATGCTGAGGGTCATGTTAGAGGTGAAAAAGCCACTGGCTGCAAGACACTCAATGTAACTTCTGTTCTAAGAATGTTTTAGGAACTTAAAGGGGGGTCTAATGCAATTTCATGCATTCTGAGTTATTCACACTGTTAAAGAGTTGGATTCTCATGCTAAACATGGCCAAAGTTTCAAAAAACGATTTAGACGTATGACGGAGTATTTCTGTGCCATAGGGCTGAACAAACAATTGAACAAAAATCATAATTGTCGATTGTTCCCTTGAAATTGTAATTGCAATTATTAATTACGATTAATCACAATTTACATTGAATGACGACTAGGCTTGCCACGATAGACGGTGTTGACGGTGATACCGTTATTAAGCCACAACACCGGTTACGTCACTTGCCCACCGCGGCACCGACCCCCACCGTCATTTAGATTTTTTATAGAAATAAAAATCATTTAGTTCAGTAAAAGAACAGACACTACAATTAAAATCGGAAAATCTGAACCGACCCCCACCGTCATTTAGATTTTTTAAAGAAATAAAAATCATTTAGTTCAGTAAAAGAACAGACACTACAATTAAAATCTGAACGCGGCTGCTCAATGCAGCGTGCCGAACGACAGTCGCATCACAGATCAGATTTCATTTCTCCAGTGAGGAGAGTGAGTCCAGCTGACTGACAAGAAGAGTGAGGTGAGGTGACCATCGCGGATGATTTAGTTTCGAAACGAGATGCAAAAGCGCCTGTTTGGCAATATTTTGGATTTTGAAAAGCATGTTGACTTTTGCCGTTTATCTAAGGTGATTTTGGAAGTTTTTTTAAACATTCGTTAATTAATTGGTTCCACATTGTTTGCTGATTTTTACTTTATTTAAACTGTCATTTATTTATTTTATTTGACATTCGTTTAGCTAATAAAGGTTCTACGTTTCTTATTTATTTGGTTATATATTATACGTTTACTTATTTCCAGTTTTGTATACCTATTAAACTTTATGTAAGTTATTTGTTATTTTATATTAGGCATAGCTTGCCCTATAGCATGGTGTATTTTTATTTGTTTTGTTAATAAAGTTCTATGTTTTATATATACGCTAAAGTGAGTTTGATGTTGTATTTTGTTGTTGCATTCAAGCAATTGACGCCGAACAGCTGCTAATTCAAAATTGAAAGCAAAACGCGCACTGCGCTTTTTTAAGCTATTTAAAAGCGAAGGAAAGCGAGGAAAAGAGGGAACGCCCCGCCCCCGCGCTGATTACCGGTGTTGTCACACATCGATTAACCAGTGGGAAAATTTCCTCACGGTCACAACCCTAGTTTATACCATTGTTTGAAGCAACTACATGCCATATTTTTATATAAAAATAAACAAGCTGAAAACACTCAAACTGAAAAGCTTTTATTGCATTTCTATAGTATTAAGCCTCAAATGTCAACTATACATTGGATTGGTTTCTTCTTTAAATAATAATAAAAAAGTTACAATATGCATGGTGTTATATAAATTAAAACAAACCCTTAAGATAACCTGTAGAAAGACCCACTCAGTAAAAAAACCCACTCAGAATAACATTAGTGGACTTCGATTAATTGCCGCTTTGAACGATTATGTAATTGTGCCATCCGTAATTATAATCGCAATTAGAAATTCGATTAATTGTGCAGCCCTACTGTGCCAAATACACTCCTTCCGGGTTCAAATAAGTTTCGGAAAGCTTTTTTTCGACCATGGCCCTGTATGACGTCATGAAGGGCGGAATTCCTTTTATGGGAATTCCTTTTTACAGAACTTGCTCAAGAAGAATGTCTCCAAAGAAGTGTGTTTTTGGTTGAGAGGGAAAGATAATATTGTTCAGCTTCCCAAAGAACCCAGCGTTGCGTGATCAGTGGATGCAGTTTGTTTTTCCGGGACTGCAACGGAGTTTCGCACAAATGTTTGTTTGTTCCCATCATTTCAGTGACGAATGTTTTATAAACAAGGCCCAGTTCAACACTGGATTTGCACATCCTTTGATACTGAAAGATGGAGCGGTCCCAGCGATAAAAGATCCTGGTCATGAGTCGGAACTGCAGGCGGTAAATAAAACTGCATCCAATTTCTGTGTTTTGTTGGCAATCGGTGCGTAAGTGCTCATGACTCTTTAGCTCCGCCCACAGCACGCCTCCAGGAGCTTGGCTGTTCTCGGAGAGAATCATAAAGCTGTATATTTCTTTTATAAATCTGATAAAACTAAAGACTCTTCAGAGATATGAAAGATGCAATATTACTCTATAGGTACTCAAGATTAACATGAGATTAGGCAGAAACCGTGTGTGCTATGTCCCCTTAAAGTTGATGCAGTTCACCATAAAGGCTTGTAAGCAATTGAATGCAAGCAAGCGGAATGACATTTTAACCAGTGAACAGATTAAAACATGTCTGATCAAGTAACACTTCATTTCACTTTTAAACAGAATGAGCCATTAAACCTAGAAAAAACGTGGCAATCAAATCAGTGGGAGTACCAGTGAGATCTATGACTTTTTTAAGGCATGTCTTTAATGTTTCCCTCAGGCCTGGGTTTGCATGAATTCAACAGATTAACTTACTCTACTGCATGTGAATAACTATAACAAACTATACTGCCATTCAAAAGTTTGGACGCAAATGCATTAATGCCTGCCCACTTTTTAAAGCGTTGAACCATGAACCAAAGGTAAAACACAACATTTCAAACTTTCATCAGAAGCAAAAATGTATTTGAAAATCAAAAAAGCCAAAGGTACAAGACTGCGTACGTAATGGCTTTAGTGAGGGAAAGAACTACAATCCCATGAAGCACTGCGAATAACAATCAATTAAAAAAATTATGGAGAAACATAACACTATTCATTTAAAGGTGTTGATTATACCTATAGAAAATATATTTTAAGTTTACTGCAAAATGTGCTTATATATACAGTATACTAATATTTAAGTGCATTGACAGTATATCTTTTCCCTGCAGAGCTTTTTTGGCTCAATCTGTGCGTCAAGACTCTGATTGGTGGAATTTCTGTACAGCATCATGGGTAATGTAGTTTTTCACCACAAATGCAGCTGTTAAACACAATTATTTTAACAATAAGTAGAAATAATGCGAACGAATGGCTTCAACTAAAGCATTTACCATCAATCAACAACCCTGGAACTCACAGTAGGTCTGTCTCATAAGCTTTATGAGTTATTGTTAAAAATCAATTTCCCTCTGGAGAAAATGAAATGGGTTTTTACTTCCAAAATCCTACTGCATCTATTGTCCACTTTTGAAATAATAGAAAAGTCATCATAACTACTAAAAAACACAAACATTTTTAAAGTATGAAGTTATTGACTAACTTCACAGGGTGCAAACTGGGAATGAGATGAGACTTAGTAAAAGTGCCCAAACTTTTGGCTAGTAATGTATTTGCCTACAACACACACTGAATGCTATTTATGCATTAATATAACTACTATATCACCCAAACTGTGTCATCTGCACAGTGCTCTCTATAGTGATGGGATGAGTTTGGTGACAACTATCAGCACTGACCTGTCATGTGGGACGGGGATGATGGAGGACGTGTGCGGGTGCGGCGTCTCGGGAGATGGCAGGCGACATCCTGGCTCCCCTGGCCCTCTCACTGGGCTCCAAGCCTCCACATGGGTGCCATTCAGGATCAGGCGATGAGCAGGGCAGCTATGTTTAAGGACACCACCTGAGCTCTGTTCGTCCTCCTCTCTGCCACATGCAAACTTGGAACAAAAAATGAGACATATAATTTTGATTTACCAGTTAGGACATGTGTCCAAAGGGAATGAAACAAGAATTAAATTCGGTTTTAATCACATAGTACAATTATTTTGGTTACACTATTTATGATGGTTGTTCATAGACCTAAAGAAAATGTTTGACAAGCACAGTTTTCTCTCCATGTTGTCCTCTCAAAAGCGAAAGTTGGAATTGGACATGCTGAAGGGCCCTTCTTTAAAAAGCCAAATGTGAACCATGATTTGCTACTGCTAATCAATAAGAGGTGGTATTAGAGACATTCTTTTCTGGAGAACATTTTACTGGATAAAAATGTGGATAGTCTGAGATCATTAATACTTTTGATCCATTTTCCAGGGTTATTATACTTAACTAAAACTAAAACCACAAAAAAACTAAAAACATTTATGTTACTTGAAATAAAAATAAATATGGGGGAAAAAATAAAAAAATATAAACTGAGATATATACAGTATATATATATATATACTGTACATACACACACACACATATACAGTATATTTATATATATATATATATATATACACATATATATAAATATTAATTTCAGCTAGTTGCCAAAGTAATATTTCTCACTTTCACTTAGTTTAACTAAAACTAAATAAACTAAAACCAATAAATACAAATTAATAAAAAATATATAGACATATTGAAAAAAAAACTAACATAAATGACAAAAACACAACAAAATTACTAAAACGGAACTAAAATTTAAGTAAAAACAAGGATGATCTATGACAGGAAATTTCAGCAAACTTTCAAGGGGGCCTCAAGATGGCTTAAAAACAATTAAATTAATAAATTAATATTAATATATGAATAATACATGAACATCATATTTCACCCCTCAATAGCTGTTCTTTTTATTGATAAACATGCAGATCTTGAGACCTTGTTTGGAATCACAAAATGAATTGTGATTAATTTAATATAACACAACTCCCAGTTTCTGTTAAAGCCACTGACGTATGTAAAAAAATATATTTATGCTCAAACCTGACAAACATGGCCTAAAAGCAACAAAACTTCAATATTGATGGTTCTTTATCTAAAATCTAGGGCCGAAGATTAAATTGGACATTTATTCTTATATATATATATATATATATACACATATATATAAATATTAATTTCAGCTAGTTGCCAAAGTAATATTTCTCACTTTCACTTAGTTTAACTAAAACTAAATAAACTAAAACCAATAAATACAAATTAATAAAAAAATATATAGACATATTGAAAAAAAAACTAACATAAATGACAAAAACACAACAAAATTACTAAAACTGAACTAAAATTTAAGTAAAAACAAGGATGATCTATGACAGGAAATTTCAGCAAACTTTCAAGGGGGCCTCAAGATGGCTTAAAAACAATTAAATTAATAAATTAATATTAATATATGAATAATACATGAACATCATATTTCACCCCTCAATAGCTGTTCTTTTTATTGATAAACATGCAGATCTTGAGACCTTGTTTGGAATCACAAAATGAATTGTGATTAATTTAATATAACACAACTCCCAGTTTCTGTTAAAGCCACTGACGTATGTAAAAAAATATATTTATGCTCAAACCTGACAAACATGGCCTAAAAGCAACAAAACTTCAATATTGATGGTTCTTTATCTAAAATCTAGGGCCGAAGATTAAATTGGACATTTATTCTTGAATTAATGAAGCATCCTGTCAGTTGGTATTATAACCATCTACCAGCCTACTAGCCTCCCCATTCCTGATGTGCCATATTAAATAATGACTCATTACTCATTTTAACTGCATACCTCTTATGCCAAGTACTATTTTCAATTTTGAAAAAAAACTGAAATTCGAAATGTTGTACTTCCTGATAGCTTAAATGGGATTCAATAAATGCACGCACGCCCCGAAAACATTGCGCTCATGCATGTGTTGCAGTATGGTATGGCAGTGTTGCGTTGCGGCCCACAGCCCAGCCCAGCCCAGCAGAGCCCAGCACAGCCCAGCAGAGCACAGCCCAGCCCAGCCCAGCACAGCCCAGCCCAGC